ACCCCAGCCCCCTCCCTGCCCCCTCTGCCATGGCCCACACCGTCGTCATGTTCATGAGCCAGCCCAGCCGGCTGGGGCCCTCCAGGAACAGCGGCCACCCCAGGGCAGCCTCGAGGGCGTCGTCCCGCTTCTGCTGCGCCACCTGGGGGCGCGGCGCCACAGCCGTGATGCATAACGATTCACAGCTAATGCAACAACGCGGGCCCGAATTGAACTCGCCGGCAGAGCGCACATTTGGGTAACCGGGGGGCCAAAAGTCGTGCAGCAAGCTGCGGGGTCGCGTGCCCTATCGCCACCTGCCAAGGCCCACCTGCGGGCGCTGGTCGTCGCCGCCGCCGCCGCCCTCGCCCTGCTGCTTGATGTAGTTCCCATTGAGCGTCTTGCGGAACTTGCCGCCCCGCCCGCCCCCGCGCCCGCCCCCTCGTCCGCCGCGGCCGCCGCCGTCGCCGCCGCCGCTGACGCCCATGGACTTGTACTTGCTGTACCCCATTGTTGATGACTGCTGCTGGCCCTGTTGAGGCTGGCAGGCCGCACTGCGCGGTGCGTGCTGCTGCGCAGCGAGTGTGCCGGCCTACGCCCTCCAAGGCCACAAGCACGGGGGCGCTGTGCTCTGTGAAATTTGGTTCTAGTATTCCATCTTCGAATTTATGTACGCGCTGCCAGCGCTTGAGACTCTTTGCCACTGCCCGGTTGCGCAGATCGCTGATCAGCGCGCTATTCAATGCTTCTGTGAATCCAATTGATATATCAAGTATTTATTTGAACGTCTGCGGTGTGTACCAGCTGTGGATGCAGGTGGCTAGAAGCGCGGGAACTACAAGTGTTTGAAGTGATCTTAGCGCGGCGCACTGTTCCGGGGTCGCAACCTCTTGTCATTTGGTTGTGATGCATTAAGAATTTAATTGCATGAGCTGGGGATGCGCTGCGAGCATGTGCTGCAGTGCGTACTTCCAGTGACGCTGCACACGCCCCGAGCGACGGCAATTGCCGCACGTACGCGTGTGTCCTCAAGTGCAGGCCGTCTCAGTAAGATTTAATTGAGCCATTTGGACGATGTACAGCCGCATTGATGCATACAGCATTGCGTGTTGTCAGCGGGATGCAAGACCCCCAGGCAGCAGGGCGCGATGAAGGCAGAGGGGGTGGGGGCCTAGCAGAAGGAAGCCCCAAGGAGCGATGCAATCATGCACAAGATTCCAGTATGGTGGTGGTCCCACTGCGACTAGTTTTTTGGCATGTGCTGCACGGTTGCAAAAGTGGCTTCTTCGCCCATATGGCCCACACCACGCTTCAGCATTTGACATCACCTGCTGCTGTGTGCCGCACACCTGATTGCCTCATGCCTGTGTTGATGTGTCAGATTTCACTGCACACTGGAAAATCAAAGCATTATGTTTGCTGTGGCCCACCCATGTTGATTTGGGTGCACTGCATGACTGATTGCTAGGAAGACTTCTTCCTTTCCCCAGTCAGTTGCTCGGTGCTGCAAATTCGCTAAGTAAACATTCGTGTATTTCTGTGACTGGCTGTGTCACACTCACAACGGATGGAGCTGCAGATGACCCGATGGCCAACAGTTGAGGATAATACTTCTCATTACAACACTAAAATAGTGGCACACTGCTATCACTGATCTGCACAACAATCCAGTTTTGAACCTCTCGATACATCCTGCTCAGGCACCACCATGCACAGCCCAGCTGCAGCGACACCATCAAAAAGCACAGGTACCCTCCCCAGCGGTGGTGCGCCTGCCGCCGCGTCGCAGCACATTTTCAGGGGATCTGGACAAAGTTGGGGTCGCAAGTGATGGCCTCCACCTGGTGGTGTCGAGTGGTGAAGGGGGTGGGTGGTGGGCAGTGATGAGGATGAGGATGAGCCCCGGTCTTCTCAGCGTGCAGGCGCCGCAGCTCCGCAGGTGGGCCTTGGTCTCCATTGCGCTCGACGTGCAGCGCACAGAAGGCCCTGTATAAAGCACGATCGGCAGAAAACACACTCATGCAGGCGTGAGGCGGCCTGTCGCACCGCCCGAAGGCGCACCACCCCTGCCTCACCTCGAGCTCAGGGAAATCCGTGTCATCCTCCATCTCGTCCTGCGGGGCAAGCAGCAAGCATCACGGACTCATGTCAATGGGCAGGAGAAGAGCACTCAAGGTTGCCGTCAAGCCAACACCACCTAACAGGGGGGGATCCATCCGCGCAAGGCAGCAGGGTTGTATTGCAACACAAGTGGTGCGCTGCGGCAACGCCGAGGTTGCTTTTACCTTGAACTCCTCCTGATTCTTCTTGTTCGCGCAGGCGGCGTAGATCTTGGCTGCCGTGGACTGCTTGCCTGCGGGTCAGGCGGTGGTGGGCAAAGAGTTGGCCACCTGCATCCCGGCGTGGCGGCCCGCCTGCCTCTACGATTCGCACTGCCATGACTGCCAGCTGGTCATGCCAAGCCAGTAAACCAAGCCAGATCTCGGTTGCCGCAGCTTCATCGACAGACCCTCAGCACACTGGCTTGATTTAGCTCTTCAACTGCCCCCAAAGCACCCTGGCGGCTGCACGTGACGCCCAGGCGCTGCCATCGGGGCGCACCGTCGGCGGCGAGGCAGTAGTAGATCGCTGTGGAGGAGGAATCCACGAGGTTGCTCTTGTCCACCAGGGAGGGTGTACCCTTCTTGGGCAGGATGATCGACTGCAACAGATCAAGTGTGGGGAACGGTTGCAGTGAGTCGCAACTGTGTGCCTCACCCTGTGGGCACACTGCAGGGTGCACACGTGTTGAGCAACTGCCATCGTGTGCTACAAAAGCGCCAAGCGGAACCGAGCGGCTTGCTGTGGCCCCGCTTGGTACCAGTACCGCTCACCTTCTCGGAGATTTTGCCGCACAGGATGTTGGCCAGGTTCTTGCGGGTCTCGGGCACTGCCTGTTTGATCACCTCATCGGCCTTGTTGCTGCGTATCGGGGACGGCGGCAACAGCCGTCAGTTGCATGTGCGGTGACGCGTGCCCTGCACGGGTGACACGCCGGTGGACGGCGCGCGTCGCAGGCTACTCGCGAACTTCTCATGCAAATTGTGCTGTCATGAATCCATTTAACTACTGCATGTGCATGCGGCGTACGTCCGCTCCATGCGGGTGACACCGCAAGGGGGGGGGCTGCGTGTCGCGGCGAATGGGACTGACCGCCGCAAGTGCAGGCTGCTGCCTTGCGCGCAAGATGGCCCTCTGCAAGAATACTCACTCCCAACGGATGGTGATCTTGACCCCCGGCACCGCGCTGGCGACTGTGTTTGGGGGACATACACGGGGGGCATGTGCGCGGCGCGGGCCGGTGTCAAGGCCGGTCAGCGACTGGCGAAAAGATTTCGCAACGGCTCGCGCTTCATCAAGCGGATAAGCGCGGATCACCTGCCAAGTAGCAAGCGAGCACGACAATCGCAAGGTGCTGGAACGCTGCCATTGCGCGTGGCGAGTCGATCTGCCTGTTGAAGTTGACGACGGTGTAGCTGGCTGGGCTTGCTTGCAGAATTGTGGTGAGCTAAAGAATTATATAAGAACCGAACGCGTTCGAGCCCGCACACCTCCCACCTGCTGGCGGGTTACGTGACTTCCGGGGGCGTACCTTCCTGAAGGCCACCGATCACAGTGGGAACCACGCGCAGCGCCGCTCGACAAATCCACCCATCACGGCTGCTTCAGCTTATTGAGTGGTAAGCTTTTTGATGCATCCATGCGTTACAACCAGCTGTGAAGTTAAGCACGATCGTGCATGCACAGCGGGATGGGTGATGTACAAGTTGCCACGCCAGCATCTGACGCAAGCAGGTACCCGCACGGTCAGCGCCGCAACGACAGATCGCACGGGTGCAGGAGGCCAGCCCCCACCCCCATGCATTCTCGCCGCCGCCGTTGCCGCCGCCGAGCGTGGCCATTTGCGTGCCCGCTCTCGCGCCTCTCATCCACCCCGGGCGGATGGCGTTCGCCTACCACCACCCCAGGCCCAGCGCGCCGCGGCCCCGGTGGCCCCGCGCGTCCACCGCGGCGCGCATCGTGCGCAGTAGCTCCCCGGCCTCCGCCGCGGCCAGCCGCTGCGCCGCGACGCCCGTGATGCTGCGGACCAAAGTGTCCTCCTGCTCGACCTCACGAATCAGGTCCGCCGGCTGCGGCGGGGCGGCGCGGGGCGGGGCGGGGCTTCAGGGTCTGTGCGGCTGGCCCAGGGGTTTGAGCAGAAAGCGTGTCGCTCTGGCAGTGCCGGCAGTGCCAAGGTGGCGGAGAGGGGGGGCAGCGCCGGGGCACTGGCCGGCCTGGAGCCCGCACGGCCCGGCCGTGCGGTCGTGCCAACGCTCAACCACGATGACCACCACCACCACAACGCATCAAAGACACCGAGTGGTGGTTTCTAGTGGCGGGTTCTCATCCACCCCTTCTCAGCCGTTTCACCCAGGCGGGCACCTCTGCCTCCGCCCCACCCCTCCCGACCCCTCAGAAACCCCCGGCGCCTCACCATATTGTCAAGGCATTGATCCACCATCGCCTCCATCTGCCCCGGCTGCCCCAGTAGCAGCGCTATTCCCGCCGCCCCCGCGCCCGTGCCGCCGCCGCCGCCGCCGCCGCCGCACGACTTGGCACCCTCGTGCAGCGCCAGCCGCCGCAGGCACAGCTTGCGGCGCACGACCGACGCGCACTCCCTGGTCAACATGGAGGGACGGCCGTCGGTCAAACGATGCCAGCACAACGCCTCTCGCTCATCTAGAGTGCTGGCGGCGCCGCGC